AAGACGTGTGGACTTCAACTCCCAGAATTCCTCCTCCAAGTCATGTTGGCTCAGGAATTCTGGGAGTTGAAGTCCACACGTCTTAAAGCTGCAAAGTTTGAAGACCCTTGGCCTAATACTTATTAGGCATTTAAACGACCATTTTAAAATTTCCTTTTAAAAAGAAGACATAAAGGCCCTTGACGCTGTCCTTGGGAGCATTTCCTCTTCCACCACATATGTTACTCCGTCCGGAAAAAGAGGCACAATATAACACGGCCTCGGAGTCATTAAAAGCCTTTGACCCTGTGTTTCTTTCGGACGTGGTTCTAGGTGCGACTGAGCCCTTCAGAAACCTGCTCTTGAAGGCGAGCGCTATTGACATTCATGAATCACTGGGAGTTGGGGTGGTGGTGGTGGAAGCTTTTAGGGGAAAAAAAAAACTCTCACCAAGAAGCTGTTCTTTCCTGACTTGGTGGACATCTTTGCCCTTGGGAGGATCTGGCTCCTCACGGTCCCATTCAGCAACCGCAGCCCCTTCTGGAAAGCCAGCATGGCTGTGCCGGTAGCTGCCTCTCGGCCCGCTCACCCTTTGAGGAGAGAGGTGGATGGGGGAAACGCGTGGAGGGCCTCCGCCCTTGAACCCGCAGCTGCTGCAGCAGGAGCCGACTGGAACCGCGCCTCGGCCTAGGCTGGGAAGGTTTGCGCAAGGTCGGCAAGGGGCGGCGGGAAGGAAGAGAGGTTGCCGCGGACTCCGCGAGAGCAGCGCCGCTCGCAGGTGCTTCGCTGGGAATGCAGCGGATGTGACGAAAGCGTACGCGCTGCGGGAGCGGAGCAGCTCAGCCGGAAGGGAGGGGCTGGGTCGAAGAGTACGCAAAGTGCGCAGGCGGGGCGGCGCTTTCGGAGGAGAGGCGGGGCGGGTGCAGGAAAAGAAAAGAAAAAGGTTTCCGGCGTTCTTTCCCTTCGCGTCCTATGTCGAATACATCATCAGTCCAGAGAGTGGAAGGCGGAATCCCTAATCAATCCATAACTAATCCATTCCTGAAAACGAGCCTATTCAGATGCCCGGTTTAATGTAATCCTTCGATATCCGTCCTTAAGCTTGGATTTTGGAATTAAGAGTTTAGCCACTCGAGGTTGACTTAGCCTCCGAAGACTAGAAGTGGTGCTTTCCTCTAGGAAAATAAAGGAACGAATTCACTGGAGATCGTCTTAATGTCCTTTCCCGCGGAGAGAAATCAGCACCTGCACAATTGTCTGTTGCATGGGTTTTTCTTCTTTTTCTTACAGGTTATTTAAGACAGGTTATGCTCATGGCTTAATAAGCTGCGTTGAATATTTGAGTTGTAATGCTCCTTTTTTTTATCAGTCTGTTGGAAAATCCCGAAATGAGAATGATCTGTGTAGCAAACGCCAGGTTTATCCCTCCTCAGACGGCTTTTTCTCCTTCTGACTTAATAGTGGAATAGGATGCAAAGTCCATGTCACTTCAAAGAGAATGTTAATAGCAATATCTTTTTGTATTCCCCATAACTTTCATTTGAACACAGAAATGACTGTATGAGCTAATCTGATGTGATCTGAACAGCATAAGGATGACTTGATATACCAGTAGGTGCTCCTTCATTTTTTAACTCAAAATTATAAGATGGCTTCGTAGTCCTAGACAGTTTTATTATCTTACCAATTTGCAACTTGATCCACTTCAGCGTAACCATGCAATAATACAGTAAGCAACTTCTAATGCTAGTGAGGGATGATTCACTGAGTTTAGGAAATGCTGTACAGAATTTATAGTATTTGCAGAATGTGACATCTTTAGATCTTAACCATTGCCGCTACTTGATTCACCTTCACAATATGTGCTGCTGCTTTCCTGAATCTTGGAACAATCTGTGGTAATATATAACATGTTACTGTGTTTGCAGCCTGATTGAGATACAGAGATACATAAACAGAAGAATGTCTTTGGAAATTGATCTCTTAAAAGCACAATTTGGAATGTTTAACTCTTATATTTGACTTTTCCCTTTCTTCTTCCCCTCCTAGTTGATACTATAGAACTGAAATTGTGTGCCAAGGTGGAATTTACTAGCATAGGGGTCATGAGATTAGATGGTCTACTCCAGTGATGACCTTTTTGTCATCGCGTGCTGAAAATGCTCACATGCCTGCACCCATAATGTAATGCGTGTATGATCTCCTGCTGGCACAGGCCCCCCGCACCCTCCCGTGCATAAGTGGGCCCCCATGCTCCTTGTTTTGGGCTTAGTAGGCCTCCCTGCACCTCCTGGGAGCAAAAACGGGCCACGGGGGCCCCCCGACCCGTGCCCTCTGCATGCACTCGCAACCTCCCTGTGCTTCCCCCACCCCCGCGCATGTGTATGCATCTCCCACATGTGCCCCACAAAGATCTGAAAATCAGCTGGCCACTGGGAGGCATGTGCTCATGCGTGGTGGAGCTGAACTGGTGCGATGGCTTGCATGCCCTCAGAGAGGACGCGTGCCATAAGTTCGCTATCATGGCACCATCTATGAGATATTGCTACCATTGAGTGTTTATTGGATTCATTCTTGGTAGCCATTATATGTTTTATATGTTATATATTGCTGTTTTGTATATAACATATATAAAAATATATATCATATGTTTTAAGTGTATTGTTAATTGCCCAGAGTTACGTTTGCAAAATGGATGATCATGTGAATCAATTTAATCGTCCAGCGCTACTTCTGTAATAGCATAGCTATATTTCTGTATATCTTCAAGGTGTGTGTAGCATACTGACCCTGATGGATGTGGAGGCTGCTTTACACACAAGAGTTTTAAGGTAACCAAATATATTAGTGTGAATTTGATGTGTTGTGTGCTAGATTCCCATTTAATATTTGATTACTTTTTAGCAGCTGGTTAAAATTTAACTCATATCTTATGAGTTATTTCACTTGTTGATAGGGACACAGACTCATTTTCTGCATCATAATGAAATTTATTATATTTCTTTTCCGAGCAATAAAATACATCACAAGAAGCATGTTGTAATACAGTAGGAAATCATTCAGTGGGAAGATTGGAGAATTCAAATAAGTGCAAGATAATTTTAATGAAAAAGAATAAAAGACTTGTCTCGATGGCATTGTCTCCAAGCATTTCCAGATCACCAGCTTTTCAGTGTCCTAGCTCTTCTGAGTCCACAGCACCCCACCACAAGATTTTATTTTTGTTTATTATCCCATATTTATTATTTTTTTATAAATAACTCAAGCTGGTCTTGAGTTATCTAATACTCCCTCCTCCTATTTTCCCTACAACAACAACCCTGTGAGGTGAGTTGGGCTGAAAGAATGACTGGCACACATAGCTGATTTTCATGCCTAAGCGGGACTACAATTCCTGGTTTCCACCTTGGTACTTTAACCATTAGCTAAATTGGCTTACTGATTAATTGTTTTAACTCTCTCTATAGGCCTGTTCCCTTCTTTGCATCTGCACTCATGGTAGAAAGAGAAGAGAAGAGAAATTGCCCAATCATTACCCAGGATGAAAAAAATATTTCTTTCCTTCAGTAGAGAGCAAGCCAGCCTAAGAGAAAGTGCTTTGAAATAGCCCCATCTATAAAAAGAGGATTGCAGGGAGTGTTGTTGCTAAGCAGTGTGGTCATGCTTTATGACCATATTACTCAGTGACAGAAATTCCAGCCCCAAATGCTGTTGTCAGTGAAGAACTACCTATACATGTATTGCCACGAGGCGAGCCCCCTCCCATCCTAGCGATCAAACAATGAACAATATTTAGAAAAAGAAAGCTCAAACTGCCCAAAGAGCTTCTGATTCAGTTCAGCAGAGGAAATATTGAATCTGTCATCTGTCCCTCTATAACTGTCTGGTTTGGCTCTGCAACCAAATAAGACAGACACGAGCTTCAACAGATAATTAGGAGTGCAGAAAAAACAATTGCTACCAACCTGCCTTTCAATTGAGGGCCTGTTTTATGCACGAGTCAAAAATGGGGCTGTAAAAATATCTACAGACCCCTCACATCCTGGATATAAATTGTTTCAACTTCTACCCTCAAAATGATGCTATAGGGCACTGCACACCAGAACAACTAGACACAAGGACAGTTTTTTCCCCAAACGCCATCACTCTGCTAAACAATTAATTCCCAAAACACTGTCAAATTATTTACTATAGGTAGTCCTTGACTGACAATGGCAGTTGGGAGCAGAAATTATGTCACTGAGTGGTATCATAAAACGTGACCACATTGCTTAACAATAGCAATCCTTGTAGTCCCAGCTGCCATCATTAACTGATTCCTAAGATCAAGCTACTTCCTGCCAGCTTCCCATAACCAAAGTCAGTGCGGAATTCAGCAAGAAGATAAAAGTCCCAAGCTGTAAGGGATGTAATAAAGAGGGTGCTGCAGTATAAGGTTTAATGTTACACACATGCATGAGAGGAATGTTCACAAAAATATACAGAATGAGGATATCCAAACGTGAATGTTAGGATTTCATGACATTCCTATGTAGTAGAACAAAGAAACAGAATAATGCAAACATTAGGAATTTCTCAGTAGCTATTTATTTTCAACTAATGTATAATAAGCTGTACATTCTAGGCTCACAAATGAATTGTTTCTCTTTCCCATTACTGTGATATCAACGTGAAGATGTGCCTTAATAAAATATATCAACGTGTGATATCAACGTGTAGATGTGCCTTAATAAAATATAGTGCCAATGGCAGGGAATCTGAACTCGTGTCAAGATTGCTTTGAATTGGTCACAGCGGCTAGAACTGGGAATTTAGCTTCAGCATCCTCTTAAACTCTCCCCCCCCCTCCCTGCACCATACAAAACAATGTTGAGGTGATGGTACTAATAATTGCACTAGGATCCTGTCATGGTTCGCTGGTCTCTTTCTGAGATTTGATAAAAATATCTGAGGATAGAATAGTAAAGAAAAAAAATCTGTTTGCTGTTTTCAGAATGAGAGAATCAGGTTAATACTTTTTAGTAGAGTAAGATCCATGTATCTTACATATTTTCAAGAATGAGTGCAGATATTTCCTTTAGTGTTTGTCTTTCCAAGTTGCAATACAGAAAAATAAAATCTTCAGAAAGGAAAGAAGACTCTGTTCACAGATTGTTGGTTTAAGTATTTCCATTAAAATGCATCAGTCGGGTGATCTGTGTTTGCAGAAACTCTGTCAAGATTTAGTTTCTTCCATGCAACCCTTTCCTAGAATGACCAATTAGCTCACAGTGACATCTTCGGGTTGCAAAATCTAACACGGTCAGGTCATCAGCTCTAGTGGATCAATAATGTCCATGTATTCTTTGGCTCTCAGTTTTGTGGTGATATGAGGCAGCCTCATGCCACAACCTCAGGAAGGGGAAGGTTTTGTAAGAGTACTAAATATTTCATATAATTGAAAGGTTAGATCAACGTTTTAAGATCTTTCTGGAATACCAATACATTCAGGGATGATACAGTAATCAGAATAACTGCTTTGCATTTAAAAGTGTGAGAATTCTAGACATTCAGTCAAAATTTATTAGGTTAGTGGCCTTTCATAAGATAACAGTGGATTACATCCCAAGTTGAAGATGCTAAATTCTCATGCAAGAGAGAGCTGGGTATCCTCCATCCTCCAAATAGTTTTTTCATTTCAGATACCTTTAATTCCCAAATAAAGGGAATTATTAATAAATATTTGTATTTATAAATACGCATGTAATTGTTTGGATAGCCACTTTTTTAGTCTTTTTTTCAGGAACAGAATTCAGGAGGATATTCATGTGCTAATACGTTCATTTAGCAAGTCAGAGTTAAACTATTCCGAATATACTGATATTTCAACTATTGAGGTCTAATTTTCATGTCCACATATTTGTAAGAATAATGGTGACCCTTCCCAGCACTCCAATTGATGCCATCAGCATAAGAGCTATGTTCCCCTTTGTGATATAGGCCATTCAGGTTGGAAGAGTGGCAGGCGCCATACCACCAACCTCCCTTGTAAGCTACAGCACAACTTGCAGGTTCATAGGTATCATTGTCTTTGTCTTTTGTAGAGAATGCCAGGCCTTTATGTCCTGAGAAAGAATCCCCTGAGTGAAGATAATCAGAGGAGAAAGTCAGTGATTTACTGTATTGTTGCTTTCAGTCACAGTGCTATAACAGTGAAAAATGCACATTCTCTGCTAGGAAGAATTCAACAGGAAATAAAAAATAATAGAATGCATAACTTATATGCAGAAATTCCCAACTTAGTTTATCACATTACCAGGTAGGAATTCCTTATACCATTGTTTGCTTAACCATGGTTTATTAAATAAACCCTAATTAATGAATCATGTCACATGCCAAGCTATAAACAATGGTTTACAAACACAGCTAGACTTCATAATATCATGACTAAAAACCAACTGACATAGAACAATTTAATAAGTTTACCACACACTATTATCTCCCTCCCCCTCTCTCTCCCACCCACCCCCTCACCCCAGAAAGCAGGCACAGGCAAGCCACTTCTGAAATCTTTCCCAAAAATTTCAGGGACTTTTCCAGATGGTTGCCAGGGGTCCAAATGGGTTCATTAGCATAAAGTTGGTAGGTTCTTTGGGCCAACCTAAACAGTAAGGAAGGAATTGTTCATTTGGAGCAGGGGTATCAAACTGCC